TCTCTGACCTGCACAGCTCTGCCTTGCTGCTAGATGGCTGGTGGGCAGGGGCATATCTAGCAGCTGCCAAGTCTGCCCTGTGGTTCCCTGGATCTCCTATGGCTGTCCAACTCTCCCCTGTTCTCCATCCATCCAAGGCAGTAGATTTTGGGAGGATAAATTGTCCAAGTGGAGAGAAACGGGGCTGAGAGTGGTACTCCCTGGGATGCTGGAGGACCAAAAATTGCTCATATTAGTCCTATGGAGCAAACTGAGATTAGTGCAGGACGTATTGTGTAACACCAACCTGATGTGGGGCAGGTAACCCCAGGTGGGGTAGGGGAGGCTGAGGCCAGCACTAGGTTGGCCCCAGCAGCCTTACCTGGGGTCCTGAGGGCTCCCAGGGTCTCCAGCAGTGGCGATCCAGCCTGCAGCAGTGGCTCCAGCCAGCCAGGCTCTGGTTTTGAGTGAGGTGTGCTGCCCCTGCATGCACTGCTCCCCTTTTTTTTGTGGGGGTTTTTTTTGACCCCTGGATACATGCAGTATGTGGCACAGGGGAGCATCCTCCATCCCAGGCTCTCACCCTGGAACTTCAGATACTCCCAAACCCATTGGCAGGCTTCCTGCATTCAGGCCCAAGCCCAGGGGTCTTAGGATTCGGATGCCCTCAGAAACTACAGGCAAGTGTCCTCCATCCCAGACTGCTGCCACTGCCAGGCGGCTGGTTTTAAATTCTGGGTGAAGCGGGCATCAAACTGTGCCAGTACATGCCCCCTACCCCCGTGCATCTCCTGCCCACCGGTGGCACACTGTTGTCTTTGTAGGGGCTGAGACACTGTGTGGGACTAAGGCCCTTGACTTGTCACAGAGCCTGGGCTGATACCAGGTGGCCTGGGGAAGGCTCCTCCGAAGGAGGCTGAAAGCTGATTTCAATGTCGATACGGGAGGAGCTGTCCGTGTACACGAGCCCCAGACCGCGAGCGCCGGGCGCGGGGGTGTCCTGTCACTGGGGCGGGGGCGGAGCAGGTGGCCGGGGCCGCCGGCCGGAGCCCGGCTCCAGCTGTTAGCGCCGCCTCAGCCCCGGGCCCGCGCCCCTCCTCCAGCTCCCTGC